GCAGTTACTTGGGAGACACACAAAGCTAAAAAGGGGAAGATTGAAGATGCAGTGGCTGTAGCAGGAACCTGTAGCAGCACCAGATGAGAGAACTTCAGGAGAAGGGCGAACAGGCTGGTGGGCTTTAAGCGTGATGGGCTGTTGGAGTGGGTCGGTCCAAACAAGGAAGGGCGTGACTTGCACTCAAGGAAGGCTGGAGGATATCTTTGGAGAAGATTTACNCAAGCTTGAAAGTTTCCTTATTCTTAGGAGAAGATAAGGAAAGTGTATCTAACCATGAAGATTTGAAGAAATAGAGAATCTTGCATGGAGTAGAGGCCAAGGCTAGGGCAAGCCGCAGGCCGTTTAGTATATATAGGTTGGGGTTAACTCGAGGGAAGGGTAAACACAAACTAGAGCAATTTCTTAGTAAAGGGATAAGGGTTTCAAATAAAAAGGGAAATCTTGTATCAAGGGCTAAGGGGTAAAGAGAGGTTCACGATATCAAGTGTGATTCGTGAACAGGGTAGGCTAGGATTGGGTGAAAGCAATACGTGTAAGTATTCAAGTCATCAATACTAGTAAATGTGTTTTTGAGAAAACCCCTGTGTTGTGTTCTGTTTCTGCATCAGTATTACAATCTTTGTAGTAGTAGCTGTTACGTTTTCAACATGCCATTCCCAAAACAAACAAAAACGGTTTTAGCGTTTTACCAAAAAGGCGTTTTGAAAAAGCTATTGAATTTGGATTTGTCTTTAATCTTTGGTTTAAGCGACGGTCTTTCTGATTTTCGCAATACAACTTGACAATGGAAGTTTGTCGTTCAATAATTATAATAACCAAAATCACTCACACAGTAATCAAAAAGGTAGATTAAATTTATTAGCATTGCTCAAAAACATCCTTATTACTCCAGAATGAGATTCTTTTGTATTGTAATACGAACAGCTAAAATCAAATTTAGTAAATGCAAAACAAAAAAAAAATGTGGTTACCTCTTTGGGTTTTTTCTCACTTGTCTTAGATTTAAAAGATGAGATAATGTAGTGAAAAAATTATTAGTTACATATAAATAAGTAATAACTTTGTGAAACAAACTATTGCAATAGAGAATTTATTCCAAATAATTATGCATTCTAATTTGAAATTCAAGATTTTATCTTTAAATCAAAATAGAAACATATAATTAGCTTAGCAAGTGTATAACTAAACATAGTCAGGAAAATTTGTTGTAAATGAACTAAACATAAATGATTCTAATACTACAATATTGAAATTGTTGTACTCGTACCCATTATCTTTCATGCATGATAATCTATTTAATGCCTTGGACTAAAAATAGTCACCAATAGTTTGTATTTTTGAAAGCCTAAACTCTTTGTAATTGTTTGCATGGTTTTCTATGAAAATGAACTTTGGTTTAGTATTCTAAAATCTTTTGACATTCACACATAAAAAGAATCTTAAACTTCGGTTATGTATTCTCTCTAACAAAGAACTCTCAACTATTTACTACCAATTAAGAGCTTGATATTTCGGAAAACTGAAAAAGAGAGTGAAAAATGGCTGCTTGCCTTATATCTCAAGAAATTTGCTCGAACATTTTGCAAGCCTTCTTCTTTGCTAGCCTTAACTGAAAATATGGAAACCTTATAATTAGCATTTTTGTATCTACAAACAATATACATTGACAATAGGATTTTCATAGATAAAAGTTTCTCACCTGAAGCTTTACGAAGGGGAAATGTGTGTTACCGAACTTCACGTGACAACAAAATTAACGAAGGAAAACATAAAATATTCCAGGCAAATCGGAGTTTCGTCTCTGACATTTCTTTGAGTATTCTATAGATTGTATCTATGGATTACTTTTTTTCCTCACAAATATTTTGTTTTATAGATTAAGAGAAGATTAATCTATTTGTCAATGTATATATAAAGAAAAATGATACAGTTTAAAAGAATCACGAGATAGTTTCGGATATTTAGGGATTGTGGTGTAGTTTATCAGAAAATTTAGGGATTTTTAGAGGTGGTGTGGTTTGTGAGAAAACTTTGGGAAAAAACCTGCATTTCCTATTTACGAAGTTAAACTGTTTTCAAATAATTAGTTTGGAAAAAAAAGAATAAAGGAAATATTGTCAAAATTTGTGGTGAAGACACGTATTCAAAAAAGTGAGCTGTAAATTTGAGAGTGATTTTAGGACTCTCTCACTAACTTCTGTTTTATAAGATAAGGGATAGAATAGACGAACCATCTTTACGTAAAACTACGTATCCATTATTTTGACAAATTTATGTCCGTTTAAAAAAATTTAAATTGTAGCAAGTACGAATAAAAATGTAGGGTTTTTGGTATGATTTTATATTTGAATCTTCTTTAAAAAGAAGAAGATATAAGGCAACTAAGGGGGGAAAATAGTTCATTAAACAAGAAATGAATGTGGGAGTCGAAACTCGAACAATATAATTTGTCTAGGGTTTGAGGAACAGAGATTTCTATGTTACGAATCACGGAATGCAAAAGATAAGAAGATAGGTTTTCTTTATTGATGTTATGTGAATCAATGTTACAAGTGTTTTATGTGAAAAGTTGCGGATCCCTTTCAATGAGGGTTTACAATGACATTTATAGTGATACTCCGCGACTAGGGTTTATGCTAATGAGATAAGGATGATTTCCTTATTTTGCAGGATTCTCTCTCCATGGAGTCGGCTACACGCTGTGGGCTTCTCTTCACGGCTCGGCCCACTTCTTCATGCTGCGGCCCATTCCTGCGGCTTGGTCCATTGCTCGTTGTCATCAGCTCGTGGGTTAGGTTCATTGTTAAACTGTGGGTCGGGTTAAACCAAAGAATAACGTCTTCTTCGCGGGTTTTCTTTTAAGATTAGCGGCGAGCCGTTAAGGTTAGCTGCATACCGTTAAGGTTAGCACAGCGAGCTGTTAAGGTTAGCCACGGACTATTAAAGTTTTCCACGGGTTTCTCATTAAGGTTTTTCCTATACTTAGCCACTTTTAGACATTGATTTCTAAGGGGTGGATTTTGACCCCTACGTTAGCCCTCCAGCTTGACAGTATCAGTAATGGTGGTGCCGAGGTATAAGCGATCAATGTTAAAATCGGTGACCGAATGTTTTGAAAATATGTTGGTCAATAATAGTGGATATCGCGACGTTTTGAGTTACCAATTAATTGCGGCGAGAATAATCCCGAACTGTTAAATGTATGACTTATATTTGCCGTTTTGTTTGGCTAACTTATGATGAGGACGGTTCAGACTTATTGTGATATGTATACATCGGGTTTGTAAGAACATGATTTGGGCCTTAGCAAGTTTTTTTGTATTTTTTTTTTAATTGGCTCGCCATTGTCGCACCAAGCCACGAATTCTGTTTACCATTAGCGCACCATGATCTTGAGCCGCCTGCTGTTGCGAGCAAACTGAGCCATGGGTTTTGTAAGGAAACCGAGCCGCGGGTTATTGCGAGGAAACCGAGTCGCGGGTTATTGCGATAAAACCGAACCGCGGGATGTTGCAAGGAAATCAAGTCACGGGTTATTGCAAGGAAACCGAGCCGCAAAATATTGAGAGAAAACAGAACTGCAGAAAATCGAAACGCGGATTATTGCAAGGAAAACGAACCGTAGGTTGTTGCCCGGAAACCGGACCGTGGGTTGCAAGGTTTGATCCGTGTCGTGGATCCTAAGTCGCGGGTGTCGAGGCCCGATCCATGTTATGGATCCCGAGCCATGGCTGGCAAGACCTGATATGTCGTTTTGTTTTGTGATGCGTGTCATATTGCTCTCAGCCGCGCATTGGTGTGTCTTGGTCTTTGGGCTCGTCGTTGGTGAACCTCGAGCTGTGGGAATAAAGATCCCGAAGCGCGAGGTCACGACCCCGAGCCGCAAGTGATGTCCTTGACCGCAAGACCGCCATCCGCGGGGAGGTGTCCCTGAGCCGCGGAGTGGTGACCGCGAGCCACGAGGTGATGATCGCGATCTGCGAGGTGGTGACCGCGAGCCGCGAGATGGTGACCGCGAGCCGCGAGGTGGTGACCGCGAGCCGCTAGGTCATGACCCTGAGCCGCGAGATGGTGACCGCGAGCCGCGAGATGGTGATTGCGAGCTGCGGGGAGGTGTCCGCGAGCCGCGAGGTGGTGACCGCGAGCCGCGAGGTAGTGAACACGAGCCGCGAGATGGTGAACGCGAGCCGTAAGTGATGTCCTTGAACCGCAAGACCGCCAGCCGCGGGGAGGTGTCCCCGAGCCGCGGGGTGGTAACCTCGAGCCTCGAGGTGATGATCGCGATCTGCGAGGTGGTGACCGCGAGCAACGAGGTGATGACCGCGAGCCACGAGGTGGTGACCGCGAGCCGCGAGGTCATGACCATGAGCCGCGAGATGGTGACCGCGAGATGGTGATTGGGAGCCGCGGAGAGGTGTCTGCGAGTTGCGAGGTGGTGACCGTGAGCCGCAAGGTAGTGAACGCGAGCCGCAAGGTGGTGATCGTGAGCCGCGAGATGTTGATTACGAGCCGCGAGATGTTGATTACGAGCCGCGGGGAGGTGTCTGTGAGCCACGAGGTGGTGACCGCGAGCCATGAGGTGGTGAACGCAAGCCGCGAGGTGGTGACCCCGAGCTGCAGTGGGTTTCTTCGGACTCGTATATGCTTCATTTGACGACCAGATTGATTTGTCTCTATAATACTTAGCGTATCTTTTAGCTCGGTATGTTTTTAGATCGGGTTAAACCCAATAATAAGGTCTTCTTCGCGAATTTTCTGTTAAGATTAGAGGCGAGCCGTTAAAATTAGCCGCGGACCGTTAAAGTTAGCCGCATACCGTTAAGGTTAGCCGTTGACTGTTAAGGTTTTTCACATGTTTTTATTAAAGTTTTTTCTATACTTACCTAGTTTTAGATATTGATTCGTAAAGGGTGTTTTGATTCCTACAATG